GGAGAGCACAACCTTAAAGATGTAGACTCCTTTACATACTTAGACAGCATTGTCACAGCCACTGATGGAACAGATGAAGACATAAAAGCTAGAATTAATAAAGCCAGACACATCTTCACCACCCTCAAGCCTGTGTGGAGTTCAACAGCACTATCCACACACATAAAACTCCGCATCTACAACACCAATGTTAAGTCTGTGCTCCTCTACGGGTCTGAAACATGGAGAGTCACCAACACCACCTCCAACAAACTACAAACCTTCGCTAACAGATGTCTGCTCCACATATTAAACATCAGATGGCCAGAAACTATAAGCAACAAGAACCGGTGGGAAAAAAACAAACCAAGACCCAATCACTAAACAAATAGCCCACAGAAAGTGGCGATGGATTGGACATACCCTCCGAAAACCACCAGGAGACATTACACGCCACTCACTAGAGTGGAACCCACAGGGCAAACGGCGAGTTGGGCGTCCCAGGAAAACTTGGCGAAGGTCATGTGAAGAGGAGATCAGGCAATGTGGACATACCTGGGAACAACTAAAAAGAGCTGCCTAGAATAGAGTGCGGTGGAGAACTGTTGCTGAGGCCCTATGTTCCACCAGGAATTAAAAGGAACCATGATCTTATTTTGCGGGAAATACTGATTTAACAGGAAAGATATTTACACTTGAAAAATTAAAGCATTTTTATCTGAATCAAATAAAAATCATTTCTTTTTTTTAAAATTATTAAAAACCTGAGGTTCTATCACAATGTAGTATCAGTCCTGGCGTATCTAAAATTTCTAATCACATCTGGAGTACATAAAGTATTGAATTCACTATTTGTGTTTGAATTTTCCTCAACTAAAAAGATGAGGATATTTTGTTACGCAGATACGTATATGTTGATTAACTTAAGGAAATCTATGCTAATGTTTGATTTAAATTAAAATTTCACATCAAGTTTTCTACACATAATAACGATAATGTTTTGGTGAATACAAATATTACGATTTCCATCCACAGATTATACAACTTCCTATACACCCCCCCCCCACCGGTAAACAAGAAGAATTTAATTTCTATAAAAATATAGTTAATGAATTCGATAAACTATGTGTAATGCTTTCATTGTGGTACAGTATTTAATGTTTGACGATTTAATGTCAACGCCGCAGAAATCTACCCAAGTCAAGATTAATAAATAAAGTATACCGACTGTCAATCATAAAAAAGTGATTAAGCTATTGATGAGCTACATGCGTTGACAGATGTATACAAAATGTACATCGCAAAGTTTCCTGCATTCATAACAGTGAAGAAAATGTTTTTCTAGTTTAATGACTTCTATTTCTAACTTTTTAATAAATTATCAGGAAAATACCCCCAACCCCCTCATCAACACTATATGTACATATTTATTTATTTAAGTACACTGCTTTGCGTAAGTTTATAGATTGTCAGCATTATACATACATGTACTTAATTGATTAATAGCTGGTAAAAACAAAAGAGCTTTTCAAAAAGCTAAACAACAAACTTCTGCAGTTAACTTGCATACACCTATCAGGTTTTATAAGTTTTTAGTTTATCTTGATTTGTATTTCGTCATCTAATTCTTACTGACATTAGCCCTATCATGTATAATTTCAACCAGATACTTGGTTTTCTCAATTAAATTCGACTTTGTTGCTGTTCGGAGTTTCTGAAGAAAACTGAGGTTCTGGTTGATCGATATTAGAAAGACATTCCAAAACAAAGAAAATAATAAATACATGCTGCAAAGCTATAATGTCATGCGATAAGGAACATTTGCTGGAAAATTGCAGTAATTGCTATAAAATGAATATTTAATTTATTTTAATTTCCCGTTTTATTCTTGAACATTGTTTAGCCGAACCAAAATTACATCATTGAAAGAGTATTTGTCTTGAACAGTGATTAAATAAATAAAATAAATGAAATTTTTTTCTTCATGTATCTTTTATTACTTACTAAAGAAAGGAAAGAAGAAAATGCATACTCTGAAGACCGTAAATTACATTAATGTACGCATTTACCAAAAATTTTGCTAATTTTACATTTTTTAACTACACTAAGATGGATGTCTATATATATGTTTAAAAAAACATTCGGTTAATATATAAATTCGAATACGCATGATTTGGGAAGCACCCGGTAACAATTGTTTCTTTATATTTCTTATTCTTGGCAAGTCTTGGTGCAGTGTCTTTCTAAAATTACATTTAATGGTATTCTCATCCTTCTTTTACAAAACTTTTACCAATTTAAATTAAAAAAGGATATGGAGATAACGTACAGTATTCAGTCTCAAAGTGCATAAAACAATACAAAACAAGAGCAGAGCAAACACGGACCCCCGAAATATCAGAGATCAGGGATCAGGTGCCAAGGAGGAATGGGTATCCCCTCCCGACCGGTCACACCCGCCGTGTGCTCCTTGTCATGATCAGGAAATAACGTAAAAAATCCGTTGTCAATTCAGTGTATAAATAATGGACTAACAATTGGTATGAAAAACGTCAATCAGCATTTGACTTCATGATAAATTGTATTGGCTGATACGGTCATTGATTCGAACATAGAACTTACGAAATGATGACTTTAAACGAGAGTGCTGATATTCTTGTTTCATCAACTTGCTTGTCAATAATTTACCTCGTTTTAGAAATTGTTCATACGTAGAGCATGCTCTTGCGTATCGAATCAACTGAGATATATATACTCAGTAAATGCATATCCAATAAAGAAATATCTATTGAAAGCTTTTCAGATGAGATGAAAAATATTGTTAATAAAAAAAAATTGAGATATATATTTTCTTGGTATATATTTTCTTCATTTGATCAATTATTAATCTAAATGCTTATATTGCTTTGGCAAAAACAGCTTTTTGTGTATCTTTATTCTGCTTTACTGTACTTCTACTGTTAAATCGATTTTCTGATATTCATTTTATCCACAATAATCACAATTGAAACATATTTTTAAGAATCAGATATCTTTTTAGCTTTCAACATCAGTATACTAGTAATGTATTTGAACTAGTTCTAACATTTATTTTAAAAAGATAATTATTTAATTATTTAATGTTATTAAAAATTGACGATTTTTTAATGGTTACATAGTTGTTTGTTTCAATCTGTATTTCAGTCTTGCACTTCAACAATATGACAACATACATACAGTGTTACGTTTTACCTTTGTAAGTTAATTACATGTTAAACTCAGTGAAAATAAATGCAGTTTATCTGGCCTGAACTATTTCAGTTGTGATTGAGCTTTATATACTGCTCAGCGTTAAAATTCATCATTGAAAATCTCGCTTTAATTTCTTTATATTTTTATCTATTTTTCTTTTTCATGTTTAAACATAAAGTACAATTTTGTTTCATTTGCAAATAAGATACCCCTGTGTTTAAATTTACTGTCAATAAATGTAATGTAAAATTGTTTAAACATCTAAAAAAAAACCTCACTAAGCGATTCAAAATTTTTATAAAAATAACTTAAAACATGTTCTGCTATTGACAATTCATTTTAGAAAACATTGTATCGCTATTATATGTTATGGTTAATACTAGTATTCGGTTTATATTCATAATAAATTTTGTGTGTCAAATATTATTTATTCTCACGATATGCTAAATGGTATAAACACTGGGTATACTATGTATATGTTCCTAATTTACATGTATGATTCAAACAAGTAAAAGTTTTATCACAAAAACGTAGGTTTCCTCATAAAAATAAGTAAATAATTGTATCTCTCAAACAGAATGAAACAACATGTTTTTCTCACATTCAGGCAATGCATAGAATTCCTTATTATATCTTTATACAGTAAAACATACCGGTTACATCTAACAAGCGTTTTTTAAAATCTTTTATTATTTATTTATGACACTAACGTATTTTTTTTTTAATTCTAATGAAACAGTTCAAAATTCCCTATTAAATCTACGCCCTTCCCTCCCACTCTGAATATGCACCTCGGCTCTAATATTTTCATTTATCAAATTTAATAAATTTATCTTTAAATTTACCAATTACCATGTTTACGGAAGTGGAGTTCTCTGTCTCGCGAGGCCTCGGTGATAGTGGACTGGTGACTTGCTTTTGATCCGGAGATAATTCATTAATTATTTTGTTTCTGAATATATATATATATCATATCTAATTACTTAGTAAACAAATAAACAACACATCTTTTTTTCTTCCCTGTATTTATACGCCAGTCATATACGATACGAATACATGTAAGTTGACATTTGACTTTTCAGTAGTATTTCAATATAGAGAAATTAACATGCCACAGGAATCACGGAGAAATTAACAAGATTCAATTTTGTAGTGTTAATCATATTAAAAACAATTGGAAATGGAAAAATTATAAAATAAAGAAAGTAAGTCGTAATGACTTACTTTCTTTATTTTATAATATTTCCATTTACATTTGTTAACATTTTGTTACCCCCCCCCCCCTTCGGATATGGACCTTTAAATATCATATATCTACTACATGTCACCAAAATCTGTCAGGATATATCTTGCTCGGTATTGATATTTTTTCTTTAATCGTGGAAATTTATCGACCAGATTGACATTCAACAATATTTTGAGTATACTTCGTCATACGTAAAAAATGATGCAAGATTTGGTAGAAATTCCAAAGAAGAAATAACGAAAGCATTGCGAAAACGACGATATGTTTCATGTTTCGAATGATATAGAATTAAGGAAAAAAGTCAGAGGACTAAAAAAATTGGTAAAATGTTGTGAAAGAAGTCAAAATCGACTCATAAGATTTTAAATTTTGCTATAGATATCCGAAGTGAGTTAGTCATCCATATTCTTTCAAAAGAAATTTATCACTGATTCTATACTGTATATAGCGTTTTGAATATCACTCAGCCATTTTAAGACGTGTACACGATCTCCTTCATTAATCTACACAATCCCAAAACTGTATAATCGATTTCGTTTCTCACCTCTTTCGGCTCCAGTATTTTCTTCAAAATGGTTAATGGCAATCTGTACTTGCACTTCCCATATTCACCTTCACATTCATGATACCAAGTTGATTCTTCTCTGACAATTCTTTTTATACAATCTCTACATAAAGCATGACCACAAATTATCCGTGAGAACATCCCCTTTAAAAAATAACAAAATTAAAAATATATTTTGGGTGATATACTGACAGACTCAATTTTAATTCAATTTTCTAAACCAAAAGTCTCTGTCAAGACTGTAGCTCTACTGGTTTGTACTTATACGAGGGTTGTTCGAAAAGTTCGTGGACAACTGTCATATCTTTTTTATTTGACGTCATATGTTATCCAAATTTGGTAAAAATATTTTGACAATAAATCCAAATGATATGTATTAATTTTGACAAAATATTATGATTGATTAAAAAGTTATCCAGATTTTAAAAATGCAAAAATAGGATCGCGGAGCAGGTCAAATTTTAGTCAGTTACAGACAATACAATAAGTAATGTCGATAGTCATGTTCTCTGTAACATGGAGGGAAAACGAAAAACTACCTAGAAATTCAAATGAAGAATTGTTACATCGATACTTGTACCAAATAATGGTTTTGTATTTTGCTTTGTTGAAAAGAAATAAACTTGAGAAGATAAGTAGTCCTTATTGAAGACGACAAAAACGATGACGTTTTAGAACGTCACGGAGCAGCAGATACCGAAGCAATTTTGTGTTTTTCTCAGAAAAAATCCTGAATAAACTCTAAAAATGTTGAAGGAATTAAGAAAATATGTCACAAGCGAGTTGTGCATGTGTGTACAAATAGTACAAGCAATATTTGAGTGACAGAGACTCTGTATCGGATGAGGATGACCTGTGAAGAAACGGTTTTACTGTAAACATCTGAAAAAAACCTTTAAAATTTGAAACGTAAATGAAAGACAAAGGCGCTTCAGAGTTTATTATCCTGTGAAAGCAGAGTTAGGACTAAAAGAAATTAAAACCTTAACAAAGGAAATTATACACTGAGATCAATTCTTAAAAAATAAATGTCAAGTATTAGAAAAAGAATTGAATGAATGGGCATTGGAATATTCTGTGTGAAATGTAAAGGTATAGTATCTATTATGAATTCTCGACGCTATGTGTTGACGTTACATTGCCGTTTTGTATGCTCCGCGGGTACAAAACATGTTGATTTTAAAATGGAGTAAATTTATTTGTGTTAAATCGAATGGAATGAAACTTCACACATAAACATAACAAATATTTTTATATATTACAATGTGCTTGTTTTAAATTTCCAGTGAATAATATAACGAAGATAGACATCGTCCACGAACTTTTCGAACAACCCTCGTATTAAAGTATGAGAAAAGAAGTCATGACCATCAGACCAAAACAGAAGAAGGGGTAGCATTTTAAAGGAATTTCAAAGACATTTCTATTTTCAGTAACTATGGCAACACCGTTCATCAGAGTCAAAAACCGATTCACTAATTTATGTATCTTAGTGTAATCTACTTGTGTGCCAAGTTATATTGAAATCACACCAAAAACTGTAGAAGGAGTAGCGCTTTAAAGGGAATTTCATAGAAAATAATATTTTTAGTAACCATGGCAACACCATTCATCAAAATCAAAAACTGATGCATTATTTTAGGCCTATGTGTCTTAGTGTAATTTACTTGTGTGCACAGTTATATTGAAATCAGACCAAAACTCTAGAAGGAGTGGTATTTTAAAGGAATGTCACAGCTAGAAAATAATATTTTTTGTAACCATGGCAACACCGTTTATTAAAAATGAAAACATGCGCTAAACCCTGTATCTAAGATAAACCACTTGTGTGTAAATTTATATTGAAATCAGACCAAAACTGAAGGAGTAGCATTTTAAAGGAATTTCACCAAAAAAAATATTTTAGTTATGTAACCTTGGCAACATGTTTATCGAAATTGAAAACCAATGGACTAAATTATGTATCTTAGTGAAGTCTAGTTGTGAACCACGGTAAATTGAAATCAGACAAAACTGTAGGAAGAGTAGCGTTTTGAAAAATTGTTTACAGACAGATGGACAGCTAGACTGACAGACAGACGGACAGCTAGATAGACAGACGGACGGAAGACCTTACTATCGCATAAGCTCTTCTGGTCTCTGACCCGTAGAGCTAAAAATTGCCATAAATAGGGATTTCAATATATTTATTTTCATCGGTCCCGTATCTAGTTGAATTGTTTGAATGCTTCAAAATATATCCTGAAATTAAAACCGTTGGTACTACTTATATCAACACAAAAAGCTTTTCCGTTTCTAGCAATTATATTAATACAGACATCTGTTAGAAGTATATGGGAGCTAGGAAAAACCTCAATCATAAAATTGGTCTTAAAAAATTACTTGGTAAATTATCCAAACAGACCCGTAGCAGATAAAATACTAGCAGGATTTTCATTTGAATTTCTTTTGCATTACTCTGGTCCAAGAAGAACCTACATACATGTAGAAACCCGTAATTACATTTCTGCATACTAGTATTCTCAAGAAATTAGGGTTTAAATAAACAATGAGGTAAAATTAAGGAGAATTGGGGGGCCTTATAAAAATTTGCAGATCTCTTACTTAAGACTTTCACCAATAGGAGTTGTTCCTAAAGGTGATAATGCAGGGTGGCGTCTCATAAATTACTCATCTGTCATTTCCACTTGAAAATAGTCAATCTGTTTATTGATCCAGCAAAATCTACAGTTCATTATCTTCATTCAAGTCAGTCATCCAAATGTTAGCAAAAAGTAGGAAAAGGGGCATACATAGGCAAACTTGACATTAAATCAGCCTTTAGATTGTTAAATATTAATACAGGGGATTTCGACCTGCTAGGGATTAAAATCAATTGCAAATATTCCTAGACAAATATCTTCTTATGGGTTGTTCGGTATCCTGTGAAGTTTTTGAAGAGTTTGCTACATTTTTGCAATGGATCGTTGAACAGAAGGCGAAGGTTTCTACCATTGACCATTATTTAGATGACTTTAATTTTGCTGGTGAAGATTTCATCTGATTTATTTGATTTGGTCCCTTATATTACCTAGACGCACTTGGCGCTTCTCTGACAATTTAACCCCAATGGAAAGAGCAAGAAAACGCATCAATTATTTCATCAAACGTAAGGTTCATGAAGTTGGGGGTTCAGTAATCAAATACCCAGACATATCTGACCAAACCCAATTTTTCTTCAAAATGATGGGGTAGACGTATCTGACCTGGGGAATCAAATATTATTAAATATCGTACAAGGGGGATTGAAAAAAAATGCTAATAACAAAGTCTCCACCTATCCACAACCGAAAGAACATTCATTTGCCTTTGGTTGGGCACGACTGTAAGGTTGCCGCTCTAATCCCCCACCCATTGCCCATATGGTGGCAGAGACCCCAAACGTAAGTGCTCTAGATCTGGGTAAACCGCCACTTACGGTTGAGGTCTTTTGGCGTAACGAGCGGCCCTTACAATATAATTTGTGAAACATAACCTTTGAAACTGACCTTGACCTCTGCACTTTTCAGTGGCAAGGTAATATTGCTTTGATGTGTTGAACTTTGACCTTGAGTTTTGCGCCTCCTAGGATCAAGGTCACCTATACATTTGTTGAACTATGACCTTGAGTCTTGCCACTCCCAGGAGAAACCTATTTGATATGATATGTTGTTAGAGCTTGCTACATGTAGCTGTATGCAGAATTGTGATTTGTGATGTGCATGTTGTCTGTATTCAATATCAGCCGTGCCGTTTATTGCCAATAAACATCATACAACAAACATTTCTTTAATCATTTACAATCTCTGAGATAACAAGCCGTTTCATGTTTCAATGAATAAAATGAAAAAGTTTCACCGGGTAGTTTTTAAAATTTTTATTCAAAATTGCTCAAAAATAGAATTTGAAGTGAAAATTATTTGTATAGAATAATATGAATGGTTTCAGAAGGGTAGCATAGTGAATGCCACAGAAGGTTTACAATTTCTTTATATGCTAGATATAAATTCAAATGAAACTAGAGGTACTGTGAGCAATGAGCTCACTAAATGATACCCCCCGCCTCTCATATGGTTATAATTGATAACAAAGTCTATGTTTTGCTGTGGCCGGGAAACCCAAAATATTCGTCGAATCAAAAAGTAAAATAGGAGGTGTACAATGGCAATATGAAATAAAGATTCTGTGAAAGTTTCATCACATTTCATTTAGTGGTATGAGAGGAGTTGCGGATAAGAGATGGATACCCCAAAGCGTAACAGACGGACGGACGGAATTAACGATTACTATATACCCTCCCGCTTTTCAAGGGTATAATTAGGTCCAAAAATATGTACCAATCCAGGCATCCAATTTTAGTTTGTATCGTCTGTCCTCAAATCGAACAACGTAATCATGACATGATGTCCTTATTTGTGTTTTTGAAGAGAATGCGATCAGCTATACTTTTAAAAGAGCAGTTGGTACATGTATATGTAGAGCATGATAAAAACCTTGTCGTGAATGATGCAAGAATACATCCTCAGTCCCAAAATATCGCATGAAATATAAATACTTTGGCGAAAACTTCGGCTTTTATCTTTCAAGCAACATTTCTGGACACTTAATTAAGGTTATCCTGAAATATGTTTTGAAAAATTTTCTGGATTTTTTATGCCCCCGTAAACGAATATTCGGTGGTATATAAATTTGGTTTGTCCGTCCGTCTATCTGTCTAGCTGTTTGTCTGTCCGCAAAAACTTGAACCTTGCCCAAACTTTTGATTTAGTGGAGCCATGACTTTCATATTTAGTATGTGTATTCCTTGTGACAAGATCTGTCTTTGGGTACCACCAAATTTGACCTTTTGACCTAGACCTTGAAGTTTGACCCATTTTTAGACAAACTGCTACTTTAGTCATATATTTTGAACAGTACATACCCGGACTTCTAGTTTTCATATATGTATTTTATGTGGCAAGACCTTTCATTCAGTACCAACAACTTTGATCTTTTAACCTTGGAGATTTTCATACTTATGAAAAAACTTTAACCTTGGCCATAAATTTTGAACGGTAAGGGCCAGGGCTTTCATACTTCACATATGTAATCCTTTTGAAAAGACCCTTCGTTGGATACCAAGAACTTTGAATTTGACCTTGACCTTGGAGTTGGGCCTACTTTTTAATACAACCTTGAACATAAATTTTGAAGGGTTAGAACTAGAGAATTTCATACTTCAAATATTTAATACTTGTGACAAAACCTTTCATTTGATATCGAAAACCTTGACCCTTTAATCTTGGAGTTTGACCCATTTTTTTACACAAAAAATTCCAAACGTTTACTAAGACCCTCATTTTTAAACGGTAGATACTAGGAATTATCAAAATATCAATTCTTTGTGACAAGACCTTTTATTTGAACCCCAAAATGTTGATCTCTTGACCTTAGATATTTCCGTACTTACGAACAAACTTTAACCTTGGCCATACGTTTTGAACAGTTAGGGCTAGGGCTTTCATACTTAACATATGTAATCCTTGTAACAAGATTTTTCTTTGGATATCAATACTTTTAACCTATTGACCTTGTAGTTTGACCTACTTTTTACAAATTTCAACCTTGGCCTAAACTTTTGAACAGTAAGGGCCAGCACTTTCATACTTCCTAAATATTATCTTTGAGACAAGGCCCCTCCTAAGAAACCAAGAACCTTGACCCTTTGTCCTTGACCCCAGAGTTTGTCCTAATTTTAAAACGTTTACCTTTGAACAGGTGGTGCTAGGGTTTATATTTCACATTTGTATTTCTTGTGAAAAGGCCTTACTTTAGGTACCAACATATTTTATCTGTATTTGAAAAAGCTTAACCTACGCTACGGGGGAATCAGTGTTTCACAAATATATATTGTTTTTATTCATGAATGGAATAAACGTATATTATATGATATACAGTAGAATCATTAATGTTGGTAGGGGACTAATGTTCGTGGATTTCGTGGGTCACCTTATCCACGAAATTACTTCCCCTCGAACGTTTATTGATTCATTAAACCATCATGTTTTCGGGTTACCAACGAAATTAAGTCACCATGAACAAACAGAACTTTGCTTACCCACACATTTTGACCCCCTAGAATTAGACTGATTCCAAAGTATTATATATCAATTTATTAACATGACCATTTTGTACAGTAATATGATTTATATTGCAAATTTAAAATTAATAAAGTTAACTAAATTGTAATATAATTTAATAAAGTTTTTCTATGATGTCAAACATATAATAAGTTTCATTATAAACTACAAAATGCTAATCAAGCCGGAAACAGTTTTGTCACAGGCCGGACACAGTTATGTTACTCTCTCTCTATCACATTCACGTATTTAAATAATTATTCGTTATCCATTTTAGCCCGGGTTCGACATTAATGACGTCGGTTGCTAAACCCAAGTAAACGACAGAGCGTAATTCTTAAAGTCAAGAAAGCGCTTTAGGATTACTTGCATTAACTTTAACGGTTTTAGATGATATTGTAATTATAAAAATCTCATATCACAAAGATCACATGGCTTCTCAGGCGACTATATATCAGACTTTTTGCCCTTTGGTAACAGAAAACCCCTAGAATGTTATGTCGTCCTCTGCCTTGGACGTCGGGTGACATAAAAGTTCTGGGCTTTCCTGTCATCTTGGGGCTAACTTTCTGATATGTCAACCTCGAAGCTATGTAAAATACTCTATGCATACTTTAAAACGGATTTTTTTTTACGATTTTAGTTCACCATTCGGAAAAATACCATAATTCCCTCATTATGTTGTAGATATAATTATGATTATAATATTAGTGTGTTGTTGTTAAAAAATAAATAATTTAACTGACCTTTCCTCGTCGGCATTTGGAACATTGTTCACCCATAAGTGATGTCCGTATGAATACTTCTGTCTATATCAAACGTAAAAAATAAATCATGAATCACACACTTATAATAAGAAAAAATAACCCTCATATAAATAAAAAAATAATTTAAAAACCAGAAGTCTCTGATGAGAATATACCCTACAGGTCTGTAAGTATAACAAATGAAAAGTACAGTACCGACCAGACCCAACCTGACACAAAGCAGTGCCAGAGCAGTCCCACAGCGGTCCCACAGCAGTCCCAGCTGTCCGAGAGAGCAGTTACAGCAGTCCCAGAGGGCGGGGTTTATTAATTTAATGGGCGGAGCTAATTCAGAAATGATATTTTCCAATAAACAATGGAACTATAAAAGGCTGTAGAAATTGCTTCTGTGTAGTATGCCTGGAATCCTTACATGTATGCGAAGGTTATTTATGAACAGTACGCGCATAAAAACAAATTAAAATAAAATTAATTGAAGGAAGAAAGCTTTTACACATACATGTATAAAATTAAACTTAACATGAATATTACACCAGAGTAATCTCTTAATACCTTAAGTAATCACAAATACCCAAAAAATATCGCTGAATCTACAAAGTTATGTAAATTTATCCACAGTTTTTCTTTACAGTTAAAGATTAAAGTTAATCATATTATATAGAGAAAATTGCCAAATCTCCAATATTTTTGCAAAAAAAGCGAATTGGGATATCAGCTATGCATTTTCTAACTGCAAATTGATCAACAAATATATTTTAGGTTAAAAAACAATAGGTATCCAGGCATTCACAGAAATTGTCATGATTTTTATACTTGTTTGGTATTTTGTGTCTTCTATTTCCGTCATGTATTCTATCATACATAGTGTAAAAAGCCTTTGTTATCATTACAAGACACCACCAATCACTTCTTTTTTCATATAGTAAGTGTTGGTATCTAGGGCTAGATTCAAGAAAATTTTAGTTCTCTAAAACTGTATATTTTTTTCCCTTTTATACAGCTGTAGGGTACAAATGTTAACATTCATAAGACCTTTTCTAAGACTTCCAATAACCTTGAATCATATAAAAATAAATATAAAATGAAAATTGTTGCTTAAAAACAATCATTTTACAGCTTTATTTTGATGCATTTCGAATTAAATATTATTTGTTGGAACATAAGCAAAACAAAAAAGAAATAAATTACAATTCCCGATATTTTCAACTGTTTATTTTAAATCAAAAATTAATGTACTCTTTTTATAACTTGTTCATAAATTAAAAGCTAACGGTAATTCATTAATAATTTCCCTAGTTATTATCCACATTGTTTATGTTATTGAAGAATGGTAGCATAAATGTATTAATTTTATTTCATGGTCATTTAAGAGATTTTATATTTGAGGGTTAAAAACATGTACCTCTTTCAATTAAAAATCTAAAATCTAACTGTAATAATTATTTTTTAATAGTACCAATGCAAATTTTTAGTATTTAATTGTACATTAAATACCCCCGTAATAAAAAGACATACATGTAGAATTTTTTTCTCATAAACCTTAATTCATATTTAGGGAAAAAAAATTAATCTTCTCTTGACCTCCTTATTTAACAACTTTAGTTTTTAAAATTTTATTCTAAACTACATTTGTCATACAGTCTAAGTAAATATTAATTAACTTTAACAATCTCTACGTATTTAAAAAATTTAAGAAATCCTTGCTTTCTAAACAGTTTAAACTCATCACTGTTGCAAGTAAACAAACCAACAGGGGGCCAGCAAATTCAGAATACACAAGAGGACGGAGCTATCATGTCACTCAGAACATTTTTTCACACATGAGTGAATAAAGCAGTCCCAGGAAGAAGTCCCAGGGACAGCTGGGACTGCTGGGTCTGATTTTTAGAGCAGTCCCAGAGCGGTCCCAGAGCAGTCCCAAAGCAGTCCCGGGGACTGCTTTCTGGGACTGCTTGGGTGTCAGGTTGGGACTGGTCGGCACTGTAGCACTTGGATTTGAAACTTTGCAACAGACAGCAATAAATAAAATTATGTATCTTAGTGTAGTCTACTTTTGTGCCAAATTATATTGAAATCATGCCAAAATTATAAGAGGGGTAACGTATTAAAGGAAATTTAAAGAAAGATCTATTTTTAGTGACCATGGCAACACTGTTCATCGAAATCAAACCGATGCACTAAATTGTGTATCTTAGTGTAGTCTACTTGTGTGACAAGTTAGATTGAAATCAGACCAAAACTGTAAAAGGAGTAGCGCTCTA